TCAATAAAAAGGAGGCTCCTTCTATCTCAAGGAGATAGTAAAGATAATGAAGGCTTTTTATCGGTCTAATTAAAACAAAAATCACAAATCTTGATATACTTGATGTTAATAGAATAATTGGTAAAGATTGGGACTTCTTCCTTCATCCTTTCCGATGGCAATTCAGGGAGGTATCATTACTTCTGGAACAGGAATAAAACTTTCTTTTTGAAGTTTTTAGATCATTCATGTCAAGTTGTAATTGGCAAGCTCAAATCACCTTCTTTTTGCAATTGGATGGTGGAACGTTTATGCAAATAAAGATTATCGAATAAGGAGGAATCTTTGGGAGATGATTGAGAAGACAACATGTGAAAGACATTCCTACTATTATTGGAGGACGATTTCAATTATATTTTATCTAAAGATGACAAGAAAGGGGGAAACAGATTCTCTTTCTCTGAAGGTCCTCAAGAATGAAAATGTTTATGACTAACAATGATTTCATGATGTAGGTACTATTGGTCCTAAATTTACTTGGTGTAACAACAAGAGGGTAATTCTAGAATTGGGAAAAACTTGATAGGATGTCTTCTTAATTCCAATGCTCTTCATAAAGTTCCTTTGGCTCAAGTCAACATTTACCCGGATTGCCTCAGACCATTGCCAATTGCTTTTTAAATTGATGGAATCTCAAATCAGAGACCCATTTTATCAGATATGAAGAAACCTGGAATTCTTATCCTGCTGCTAGAATCATTGTATCCAATGGTTGGAGGAAATCAGACCATGGAAATGATATGGAGATTCTTCAAAGAAAAACTCAAAAGATCATTGAGGTCATTATACTTTTGGAGTTTAAGAATAAATACAAATGTCTTAATTCTCTAAAGAAGAATTAAAAATTGGAGATTTCGAATCTTCAATTGGAGGAATCAACTCTTGGTGGACTTTCTGATGAAAACTAAAGCTTCTTAGATCCAAAGTAAATGAATTCAATATAACGTTGGGAAGACTTTTCTTCATGGTGGAACCAAAGAGCAAAGGTTAGATAGGCTTGAAAGAAGGAGATGTTAATTCAAATTTCTTTCATAAATTTGCTTCAGCAAAGAGAAATGGGGAATCTTATAGGCAAATAAGAATGATGAGAATGTATTGGTAGAAGATCTTGATCAATTTCTTCTGTTTCCAGAATTTTTTTGAGGCAGAAATGGGGTTCTAAAAACTGCAACTTAGAGATTGGCCTTACTTCCCTGAGAAAAAAACTTAATGATTTGGATATCAAATTTTTAAGTTCAGATTTCACTCAAGAGGAGCTGAAGACTGCTGTTTTTCAGGCAAGGTAGAAACAAGTCCCGGACTTGATGGTGTAACTCCTATTTTTTTTTTTCAAAACTATTGGAGTATTGTTAAGAATTCTACCTGAGAGCTGTTGACTTGTCTTTAAAACTGGTTTCATGATCAATGATGAAAGGGATACTTTAATTGTTTAATTTCCAAAATCATACACCCCGTTAGTTTCCTTCCAACTTTCAGACCAATAAGCTTATGTCAAACCTCTTATAAATTTGGTTGCAACCATGCTTGTTAATAGAATCAAGCTTTGTTTTCAAGAATTATCACGAAGAACAAATTGCTTTCATTCCTGGTAGATTCCATGTCCGATCATGCCTACTAGCTCAAGAAATCATCAACAAATTCAAAGTTCTAAAGACAAGAATGGTTTTATGGCTATTAAATTAGACATGGAATAAGCTTCTTGATAGAATGGGATGGCCTTCTTTCTTCAAGTTTTAAAAATTACAAATTTCCTTCTCAATTTGCAACATTATATTGGAATGTGTTATGAATGTCAGATTCTCTATTGTCTTAAATGGGAAGCTTTCCAAAATGGATCATAGCTAAGCAGCGGGCTTCGTCAAGATGTCCTTTATCTCCATACTTATTCATTATGTGCTTTCAAAACTCTTTTCTTATGTTATTAATCAAAGGGGCCATCATTTGGGAGTTTGTATAACATCCAAAATCCAAAAATATCCCATCTTCTCTTTGCAGATGATGTATTAATCTTTTCCAAAGCGACTTCACACAAACCAAGAATTAAAATCAATTGCCTCTGATTTCTGCAGTTGGTCAGGCCAAAATATCAATGCTTCTAAATCTCAAATCCTATTTGGGAAATTGGTTAAGCATTCTTATGAAGAAACAAATTAAGAGGATATTGAATTTCAAAGAGGTGAAAGAATGAACTACTTGGTATAAATTGGCTTTGAGGAGGCTCAATCATTTGATTTTCGGCAATGATAGACAATATCCTAGAGAGGCTGAATACTAGGGGAAGCAAACAACTTCTCAATGGCAGGTAAATTACTTTGGTTAAATCTCTCTTCTAACCATGCCAAGCTTCTATCAACTCATTTCTTTGATTCCAGAAAAATTTTGCTTCAAGTTGATCAATTTGTTAAAGAAATTTATATGGCATAAAAGTGGAGGAAGAAAGTTACACTATGTTGCTTGGGATGTATTATTTTTTTACTACTTTATAAAATAGTTTTTAAGTACAAAAGTTTATTGAACCGAAAGTTTTTAGTAATAGAAAATTGTTTTAAAAAATAGTAAGAAAGCTTTCTCAAAAGAAGCCTAAGAAAAGTCATTTCTAATACGTTATAATCTAAGTCTGTTTTTAGTCTATTTTTATCTTTTTTAACATAGGCCAAAATACATAAGAAAATAAGCACTTTTAAAATTCAAATTTTATCAATATAGTTTTTTAATGCATGAAAAATATATAGATAAATAGTTAAATTATAATTAAAATTGATGAGGCTAGATTCATATTTTATTCTTATATTATAAAATATAATTAATCGTGTAATAATGAATTTGAATTTATATAATGTGGTGGAAGCAAAGTAAAGAAACATACAATAAAAGAGAACCATTCGTTTGGGACGGTTTTTTTATTGCTTTTAAAACGGAGTACTAAAAATTTGTACTAAAACTCCGTTTTAGTACAAAAATAAAAAAAAATTGTACTAAAACTCCATTTTAAAAAGCAATAAAAAGCCATCCCAAACGAAGCCTAAATCTTCTATGGAGAAACCCTCATATAAGAGAGAGCAAGAGCTGCAAAACGCTTGATGGCTGACAATAGAAAATCATGAAGGAGCAAGTTCACATGAAGTTCGCTTTATAGAGACTCATCCATGAGACATTGCAAGTCTTTAACCCAATAAGGCTTTGATGATGGATAGTTAATGGTTGCTTTCATAGCTAACTAACCTCAAAACCAACCTCTTCTTTAGTTTTACCTAAATGATTTCTCATAGTAAATCGTATAACAAGATTATCAGTTTCAATCAAAGAAGCATTATATTGCTCACATTCATTCAATAAATTAACAATCATCATTAACCAGATTCAAGACTAAATGATAGGTTAGGGATGTTAATTCACAATTAAATAAAACTATTAGAGAATATATGAAACTTACTGCCAAGTTGTAATCATCCAAAAGCCAATAAAACAACATAAACTCAACTAGATTTCAAGCAAATTCATCAATATTACTCATCAAAATCTTATGGCTGCCCACCAAACTTGCCAAAAAAAATCACCCAATTTATAGAACTAATCTCCAGATCAAAGTAAGGTGGCCAAAACACTTCTTCTAAACCTTCCCTCTAGTAAAAATTTATCATGATCTCACTATGCATTTTAACAACTACAAGCTAACTAAATATATTTCCATATTTGTCCTCTCTCAAAGCACGTCAAACTTTGTAAAAGAATAATATCTTAATAGAATTTAAAAATGCAACCTTGTAGAACAAGCTTACTTGAATTGATTTCTCCAAACAATTACAAGATCCGGTCTTTACTAGTTGAGTGCTAGAGTGGAGATCCACATTAGAATGTCTAACTAAAATAAACGGGGCAATTCTGTAAGAAAAGTATCACCTTCATTCAAAAGAAGATTCTTTAAGAGTTTGGAGTATTCAATCTTCACTCTCATCACATGTTTCCTACCTGAACCACCATCTCTGGATAACTGAGATAGGAGTGTTAAGGAAAGGGGCATAGCGATATATGTAGGGGTTGGCAGTTAGGCCAATCTTGGCCCAGATGTTCTTGTGATAACCAGCAGTTGCAGGAGCATGATACATAAGTTTCAGTAGCTGCCACAGAAAATAAAAAAGAAAATATTAGAGTGAATTTGAAAATGTTAAGATTCTAGTGATGAGTTACATAGACGGATGCCTTCCGATGACCCGATTTGGAAAGTTGAGGTATTAGATTTGACTTATGTTAAGAAAAGTAGAGGTAGACCTAAAAAGACTTGGTTAGAAAATATTAGAATGGTCTTTCTTTATTAGATTTGAATAAGAATTTGACTTTTAATAGGACACAATGGCAAAAAATGATTCATGTAGCTGACCCAACGTAGTGGAACAAAGGCTTAATGTTATTGTTGTTTTTGTTGATGAGTTACAAATAACAATATTCAGAAATTCTGTAACAATGACAAATATTGACCTGCCAGTACATGAACGTCTGCAAAATGCTCCGCTGCCATCTGGATTGCCAAAATACGGAGTATATCAGGAGGAGCGTTATTAGAAAGGGCATTTTAATGGTCAGATGCAAAAAAGAAAAAAATAAAGCTAAATAGAATTAGATAAACTCACGAGATGACTGAGATTACTAGAAGGAAGCCCAGTGCAATCTCACTATTTGAACTAACGATACTCAAAGTAGTTGCGTTCGTCACTACAAACAGACAAGGTTGCTCCAAATATCTCCTAGAAAAGAATCAGCAAACCATAAATTTTACTTACAATCTAAAATTTAGATGAAGTCCTATTAAAGAAATTACAACTATAACTAGCTAAATAAAACTCTCTTTAAATTCTTCTGTAAACAGAATGAAGGTTTGGAAAAGTCTTCAGATCTTAAATGAAGACCATTATATCATAATAAATTAGATAAAAACACAAAAATTCATCCCGCAGAACATGGATATATAATAAACTGTTTACATGATTCTTCATAGTCTGTTATTGTGGGATGGTACGAAGAGAAAGTTTTCATTCTCCAACACATAAATCAAATTTTTGCGTCAAAGAACAAAAAACAAAAAGTATGACTGAGATGTACAAAATTACAGCATATATTAATTGGACAAAGCATTCATCATAATACTAAAAAATGCATTGTAAGCCAACAGGAAGATTAGTTACCTGTAAAATAATGATCGTGAAAAATTACCCCTCAAGAATTTGGCGACATGTTCCACTGACCAGCAAATCACAGGTATTAAGGCAACTGTGTGTATGTTGAAAGAATAGTTAGAGCATCTTAAGATATAAAAGACTCGTAATCAAAGAAAATCAACAGTAAAAAATTAGAGGAAGGAAGGAAAAATTAGCTCTGGATATTCTAGCCAAATTTTCTGCCAAAGGAGTCTCAAAATCATCGAATTTATTTTGAAAGGAGTGCACGGTAAATTTTAATTAATTTTTAAAAATATTGCATTCATCTCAAATCAAATACAACTATTTTGAGACAAATTTTGACCAAAATTTCTTTAATATATCAAGACCCAAAATTCTTTCCTACAAGTGCTAAAACCCGCTAATAGAACCACAACTAATAATTTAATATAGAACTTTCTTGTTTCCAGTATTCAAAACTACGCATCTCAATCAAAAAGAGTGGGCCTTGTATATACATTCCAGTATTCAATATTTGTATGACCAAATCAAAAGGAGTGGGCCATATATCCACATCCATTTTGAACAAAAGATTCAAGAAAAACCTATTTAAGGTGTAGGTTTATTTGGAATATGAAGCATTACTCAAGCTAGAAAGAAAAAATTAAGCAATGTTATCCTTACGTTTTAAGTGCAGACGAGAAGAAACGAGCATAAGGCAGTACATCAAGTGGATAAAATCTTTTGTTGCAATTATTGACTGAAACCATGTTTGTACGGCTGACAGATTCCAAGCCCGGGGTGTCTGTAGCAAAGGCAACCAGTTGTAACTTCATACGACCTTACCCAGTAAATGGACCAATATAAAAGAAAATAAAGTTTATCAAATGTGGCATGACTTACACGATATAAAGTGTACAAAGAATAAAAAGAAGACAGAGCCGTTCCCAACAGTGACAACCGAAATGCCTTGTTTGAAAGATTCCTCGGCACAAGTGGCAGGATGCCAAGCAAAGCAACAATCAACACCTGCCAAGCCAATCAATATTACAAAAGGCAAAAATAAACGAATGAAGCAAATGATGTAGGTCAGCACAATCAACCAAATAGGTAGAGCTAGAAGAGAGTTGAGAGCTTATGACTAGCTCATGTTTTTATTTAATTCAAGCATCTTATACTTAATCATTTGGATTGTTCGATCATGCAAGAGTTTTGACAAATTAAGAATTTATTAACTCTTGGCGGTAAGTATCAAAATTTGGCTATCATTATTTGAAAGCTTTCTAACTTCTACTTTTTTGCCACTTATTTTAGCTTCAATCATTTTGGCTACGGGTGTCAATATTTGACACGACTCGAAAACCCGACTTGAACCCAACCCAAAAATTTCGGATTATGGTCAACCCGTTTCACAAATAGGTCGGGTTTGGGTTCCCGGATTCGACCCATTTGAAAAAATGGGTCTGGTTCGGGTTGACCCGGCAACCCAAACTCAACCCGTGTTAACCCAGGAAAAACTCACTGACCGCGTCCGCGCTGCCCTTCGTCACTTTGAGTGCTAGAGCTGATCGCGTCTGCCCGTGTCCGCACTGGCCTAACGTCTTGTCCCGAGAGCCTTCCATCGCGTCGAGTGCCCACCACCGCCGGTGTCGGTGCCGCCAATGGACTAGCCGCTGATGCCTCTGCCCGCCTACAGCCTCATGGTCCCAGTTCATCGTCGACTTGTCAAGAAGCTAACCGCGGTGTCATTGCCGTATGATAACTCAGTTCGGCGCAATTAGGCCGTGTTCGGGTTGAAAAAGATGACCCGTATGCAAAAACGGGTCGGACTCGAGTTGGGTCAACTAGTGCTGGGTCAATTCCGGGTTGGATTCGAACCCGACCAATGACCCAATTTTGACAGCCCTAATTATGGCATTGGTCGGCCTTCATGTGATCTACCTTCAAGAATTGAGTCGGGTTATAATCATCTAAGCAACAAAGTGGCATAGTCATTACTGATCTATAAGTCATATGGGTCCTCTTTGGACCATCTTAACTAGTTGGGTCCAATTAATGATACTGTCGTCCTAAAATAAAACTCTTTGGGATGACTTGTTAGTTGTTAGTGAGGCTATATCACGCAAATAGCTTAATCTATCCCATAAGTTTGCTTACTAGTAGATGTCAAGGCCCATAAGCCTTGCCCGAGTTCTGCACCATAAAATTTTATTCCTTTTACGTTTTTTTAAAGTAAACACATTCTTACTTATCAAAATTTCATTTAAATGGTATTTACCGAACCATTGCACTATCACCTCAAATTCTACATATCTTAATAGGTATATGATGTAGAAAGTTTTCGAAAAACTTCACTACGATAATTTATCTAAATTTTAGTATAGGGTATTGTTGCGTCCTGGAGTATTCGCGGCGGTAGAGAAATATTTAGCTTAACGTCTTAGCATTGCACGAAAATCCAACACACAAACAGATAAGAGGGAGAATGTAGCGTTCATAAGAGACACCAGAGTTTTTACGTGGAAAACCCCTAAAAAAGGGGAAAAAACCACGGGGCCTGACCCAATTTGAATTAATCTACTAGTATTTCTTGGCGATTACAAATGAGGCCCTTCTTAGAGAGAAGGCCTTGGCTTGATGTCATAGATGTACATCGTATAGAACGCATTACATGGTTGGAGTTACATAGATATGTTTGTTTGGTAGGCATGACCATAGTCGATAGGTTAGAAGCTGGAAAGATCGTTGACTGGTGATGGAGGTCGGAAGGACCGTAGTCGGTAGGAGACAGGGGTTTAAAAGACTGTAGTTGGCAGGAGACCGGGGTTAGAAAGACCATTGTCTATTGATGGAGGTCGGATGGACCATAGTAGATGACGGAGGTTGGAAGGACTGTAGTTAGCAGGAGACCAGGGTCAGAAAGACCGTAGTAGTAGGGTGGTACTCTGGTAGAACTCTGGGCGTTAGGTAGTGGCCCAGCAGAAGCCCGGGCCAGAGGTGGTGTTCTGGTGGAACAGAGGGTCTCAAGTGGCGGTTAGGCGTAAGTACGAGCCTTAGGTGGTGGTCTGGTGAAGTATAGGGTCTCAAGCAGTGGTCCGGTGTAAATCTGGGCGTCAGGTGGTAGCCTGGTGGAGCATAGGGCCTTTAAGCAGTGGTTCGGCAGAACGAAGATATAGCACACAAGCAGACAAGAGAGAGAGAGTAGCATTCATAAGAGGCAACAAAGTTTTTACATGAAAACCCTTGAAAAAGGGGAAAAACCCACGGGGTCTGGCCCAGTTTGAATGAATCCACTAGTATTTGCAATCGATTACAAATGAGGCCCTTCCTTGGGAGAAGGCCTTGGCTTGATGTCACAAATATACATCATATAGAGTGCATTACATGGTGGGAGTTACAATATATGTGTTTATTTTGTCGGCACGACCATAGTCGATAGGATGGAGGTCGGAAGGACCGTTGTCTGATGATGGAGGTCAGAAGGACCATAGTAGGCGACAAAGGTCGGAAGGACTATAGTCGGCAAGAGATCGGGATCAGAAAGACTGTTGTCTGTTGATGGAGGTCAAAAGGACCGTAGTAGGAGACGGAGGTCAAAATGGCCGTAGTCGGCAAGAGATCAGGGTCAAAAAGACCGTTATCTGTTGATGGAGGTCGGAAGGACCATATTAGGTGACGGAGGTTAGAAGAACCGTAGTCGGCAAGAGATCAAGGTAAAAAAGATCGTTGTCTGTTGATGGAGGTCGGAAGGACCATAGTAGGCGACAGAGGTCAGAAGGACCGTAGTTGGCAGGAGACAGGGGTCAGAAAGTCTGCTGATGGAGGTCGGAAGAACCATAGTAGGCGACAGAGGTCAGAAGGAACTTAGTCGGTAGGAGACCGGGGTCAGAAAGACAGTTGTAGTAGGGCGGTACTCTGGTAGAACTCTGGGTATAAAGTGGTGGCCCAGCAGAAGTTCGGGCCTCAAGTGGTGTCCTGGTGTAGCACAGGGCCTCAAGTGGTGGCCCGGCGAAGGCAAGGGCCTTAGGTGGTGGTCCAGTGGAGCAACAGAGTCAGACGGTAGTCCGGCGGAGGTCAGAGCCTCAAGTGGTGGTCAGGCAGAGCAACAGTGTCAGGCGGTGGTCCGACGGAGGTGAGGGCCTCAAGTGGTGGCTCGGCGAAGGCAAGGGCCTTAGGTGGTGGTCCAGAACTTGAGGCCCTCACCGTCCGCCGCGGACAGCCGATCTTGACGTCGTTGTCCTGGCCTGGACCATCACTGAGGCCCTCACCTCCGCCGGATCACCGTCTGACACCGTTGCTCCGCCGGACCACCACTTGAGGCCCTCACCTCCGTCGGACCACCGTCTGACGCCGTTGCTCCGCCGGACCACTGCGCTGACGTCGTTATTGTTCCGCGCCTGGACCACCCTTGAGGCCCTATGCTCCACCAGGACACCACCTGACGCCTGAACTTCTACCGCGACCACCACTTTGAGGCCCTCACCTCCGCCGGACCACCGCCTAAAGCCGTTGCTCCGCCGGACCACTACTTGAGGTCCTCACCTCCGTCGAACCACCGTTTGACGCCGTTGCTCCGCCGGACCACCACTTAAGTCCTTCACCTTTGCTGAACCACCACTTGAGGCCCTCACCTACGCCGGACCACCGTCTGACGCCGTTGCTCCGCCGGACCACCACTTGAGGCCCTCACCTTCGCGGACCACCACTGAGGCCCTCACCTCCGCCGGACCACCACTTGAGGCCCTATTGCTCCACCGACCACCACCTGACGCCTGAACTTCTACCGGACCACCATTTGGAGGCCTGAATTTCTTCCGAACCACTGCTTAAAGGCCCTATGCTCCACGCAGGCTACCACCTGGCAGCCCAGATTTACACCGGACCACTGCTTGAGACCCTATACTTCACCAGAACCACCACCTAAGGCTCGTACTTACGCCTAACCGCCACTTGAGACCCTCTGTTCCACCAGAACACCACCTGAGGCCCGGGCTTCTGCTGGGCCACTACCTAACGCCTAGAGTTCTACCAGAGTACCGCCCTACTACTACGGTCTTTTCTGACCTGGTCTCCTGCCAACTACAGTCCTTCCAACCTCCGTCATCTACTATGGTCCATCCGACCTCCATCAACAGACAACAGTCTTTCTAAACCCGGTCTCCTGCCAACTAACAGTCTTTTCAAACCCCTGTCTCTACGACTACGCGTTCGACCTCCATCACCTGAACAACGATCTTTTCCAGCCTCCACCTTATCGACTATGTCATGCCTACCAAACAAACATTATCTATGTAACTCCAACCATGTAATCGCTCTATACGATGTACATCTATGACATCAAGCCAAGGCCTTCTCTCTAAGAAGGGCCTCATTTGTAATCGCCAAGAAATACTAGTGGATTCATTCAAACTGGGCTAGGCCCCGTGGTTTTTCCCCCTTTTTAGGGGTTTTCCACGTTAAAAACTCTGTGTTCTCTTATGAACGCTACATTCTCCCTCTTATCTGTTTGTGTGTTGGACTTTTCGTCAATGCTAAGACGTTAAGCTAAATATTTCTTCTACCGCCGCGAATACTTCCAGGACGCAACAATACCTATTTACTAAAATTTAGATAAATTATCGTAGTGAAGTTTTTCGAAAACTTTCTACATCATATACCTATTAAGATATGTAGAATTTGAGGTGATAGTGCATATGGTTCGGTAAATACCATTTAAATGAAATTTTGATAAGTAAGAATGTGTTTACTTTAAAAAAACGTAAAAGGAATAAAATTTTATGGTGCAGTGAACTCGGGCAAGGCTTATGGGCCTTGACATCTACTAGTAAGCAAACTTATGGATAGATTAAGCTATTTGCGTGATATAGCCTCACTAACAACTAACAAGTCATCCTAAAGAGTTTTATTTTTAGGACGACAATATCATTAATTGGACCCAACTAGTTAAGAATGGTCCAAAGAGGACCCATATGACTTATTAGATCAGTAATACTATGCCACTTTGTTGCTTAGATGATATATAAACCGAC